GACGAACAACCCCAGATAACGTTGCCTTCAAAAATAGTAACATCATAAAGGATATGGCCACGAGGTCGCGAAAGACAAGGGAGCTTTCTGGTTAAAGGACTGCGAGGAACAACACGACACTTATTTCAAAACCTTGGCTTGGTAAAAGCGTTTCTGACATAAATTCTCTATTAAGGCCTCGGCTAGTCTGCCGGGCTTTATGACACAGACCGAAAACGGCTATTTTATAAAATACCTTCGCCGTTCTTTGCCGTAGTGGCAAAATGTTCTTGTGTATACATTTATGGAAAGGAGTTAAGAAACTTTAGATTAACCAGAGTTATAGTAAACAGTGATGCTGGAAAATTTACTAGCGCGTTCTTCGGTCAAAATGAACGTCCCTTAATTTACTAAGTAGATTTACGTCCTCTTCAGCGCGAGTAAAAAATGTCCCCGCAGAAAGGAACAAAATTAAACCAACAGTGTCGAGCACATCGCAATACTCTCCAAAGCAACACTTTAATATAATCATTTAAACTGGATAATATTTCTATAAATATTTGCAACATTTATAAAAAAATGACTTTCAGCAATGAATAAAATTCGTTCTATGGGCATGCGTTGCTATTCAACGTATTTTGCAATTTCGTGGGCAACCGTTTGCATGAATATTTGCATTTCCCGAGCGAAAATATTTGAGAGACAATATTTGCAACTTTCTGAGAACGGTTCGATTTTTCGTTTCTTGAAGATGAGGGCAAGAAACGTTTGTATAATATCGAACAGCGAGGATTTCCATTTTGTTCGCAACAACCTTTCGCTTTTTATTCCATGGTGTTACGGGAATCAGCGAGGTTTCTACGTAGAAACGGAGAGCAATTTAGTTGCATGCGTCCGTTGCATTCGCGAGTCCAATATGTTAAGTGCACCACGAAATTTTGCAACAACCGCGCGACAGAAACGGAAAATACTTTTCTAAGGAATGTCTGCCCCGTATACATTCGATTTTCCACTGAATTATATAGCAACTACTTTGTAGTGGACCGTACCACAAATCGAATGAATGGAAAACCATTTTTATTTCAAACACATCGCATCGAAATAATCAATGATGCATTCTGGATCAACATACCTTTAAAAAGCGAACGTTTACCAAATAATTCTTGAATTTAAAATTCCTCGAACTTTTCCAGCCAACAATAATCGTTCAATGTTTTATTTAAAGAATCTTCTACTCGAAAAATTCAAGGTAATTAAATTTTTTCTTTGCATTCTTTCGGTATTAGAAACCTATTTCTAAATATGGCGAATTCACTGCGAGCTTATTTTCTTATTCGCATTGGACAAATTGCGTGACAGAACGAAACTAATCGATGAATTTAGCGAACTTATTACGGTTGCTCTTGCGAACGAAACAGTCGCGTGTTGCGATGGTCTAACTTTAACATCGTTTTCCTCGAAACAACTTTTCTCGAGATAGCGTTAATAAAAACTTTAATGAACTGAATTTAGCACGCATCGTGATTTGCAACGCAACCGAAAAGGCATCCTGACCCAAAAATAAATTAAAAACGTACGTGAAAATTGCTTGTACGAGACTTTGTTCCTGAGATAATCGATTTTAAAAATATGCGGGGCACGCACGAACCCGATTGACAAACTTCGAATGACGACTTACGAGTTTAACTTTCTTCCCTCCAATTATAGCATTGAATTTAATTTTGCTTATAAATTGCTGCCCTGATACGTACACCAGAATATAAATCGGTAATGGGACCCACTGAATTAAAATTTATTTAATTTGACACGCGCCCCACGAATTTTTTAGAAACTATACCGTTTCTTCTACCAAAAACATATACTAAATCGGAATATACAAGTGGTATTCATAAACGTAAAAATAAAACAAAAATAAACTGGTCGAAATATTTCTTTAGGAACGAAACTGACCGTGTTTTTGAAATGCATATTAACAAATTACAGAGTTTAGAAACGTTTTTGTCGATAGTGCTTCAACGAAAAAATTGCAAAAGATTCGCCTTTTATTTAACGTTCTTCAATAGAAAGCGCTGTTCATTTGGAGAAGACTCGCGCAATGGCAGCACTCGTTTGTCAAAGGATCGAAGAGAGCAATTTCACGCAGTAGTCTCGTGTATCAAGGGAAGCATTCGAAATAACACGGTAGTTTCAATCCGGGAGTTGTATCCGCACGCCTATTCGACGGGGCGTTGAAACAAGGGCGCGAAACTTGTTACAAACACGCCGTGGCGCAGTCATTACATCGTCTAGCATCGCCGCGAATTAACGCTTAAATGTTTAATTACATCTTCCGGCGATACGCTAATTCTACATATATCTTTGACGAATTACGATTAACGACTAGTTTTACGTGCCACTGGCTAAACGATCACTGGCTTTGACAAAAGCTTTTGACGAAATTAACCTTCCTATTTTATGGGAGATTTCTTCATTTAATATTAATATATTTTTAAGTAAAAACATTTTATACGAAAATTGAAATTTATACGAACTGCCAAAAAATTAAATATGATATATCGTAAAGCAGCATACATTTTGTAAAAGGTATTTTCATTCTCCGTTGGTCGATCAACAGAACTCAGTAATACAATAATAAAAATAAAAGTATCGACACCGAAATAGATGTCGAAATGTATATGGGAACGATGAAAGTGAAAAAGGGCTGCAGTCCTTCTTAGAGATGGAATTTTTTTGCAAAAGCGACGAAAGAGAATCTCCGACCACGAGCGAAATTATCTCACCCGCCAAAGGCGGAAATCATTCTCGAACACTCGTCGCTGTCCAGCGAAATGATTCTGCTCGGAGTATTTTTTTTTTCGTACCTTTCGTTCGATCATTCAATTCCGACACACAATGAGGCGCTCTATACGGGAAGCGGAAGTAATCTGAAGACCGGCCTTCCATTAAAATCTGGGTCGAGTCTTTACTCGGGGGGAAACCGACGTTTCCAATATCCGTAATAGGTGAGAGTTTCCTAGCCGCAAAATTAAGTTGCAAAAACCGAGAAAAGCTGCTCGTAATTCTCCATCTGCCTTCGTTTCGTAGCGACAGTGATTATAATGCAACGTCCTATGTCTAATGGCGAATGATTTTAATGAGTATTCCTGACTACCGACAAGCCTGGTAGACCTACCGGCGATAGACAATGTTCGAGAATGATGGATGGAAAGCTTTTATTCCAGTCCATTGGAATTGTAATAGCGAACATTTCATAGAAACGTGTTTGAATTTTTATTATTTCAAACATTATACGTGGACATTTTTACTGTTATTATGAACGATGTATCTACGGACGTTCGAACCTCGACATCGAGGGAATTAAAATTGAATTTAAAAGTTTAGTAGAAAAAACGAGGAGGGATTCGTTATTTTTTGGCAGGAACGGGTGTCTGTTTTAAATAGGGGAACTGTGTAAGAAATAGGGTCGAGTTTCCTGCACAGGATATTGGAAATTACGACACGTTCCATTTTCGAGTGCGAGAAGTGGCCGAAAGAAGGACGATCGTCCACTGTTTCACCACATTTTTCCGCGATATATATGTCTTCTTTTCCCAGTGTTCGCTTGCAGCCGCAGTTTTTAAGATTATAAACTTTATCGGGGCACTCTGAAATAATCTGTTTCCGCGTATCGAAAAATTTCCTATAATTAAAGGAAAAGAAAAAAAATAATATTTGCGTGGAACGTGAAATTCGCACAGTTCGATGTTGTTTATGTACCACGGTGAAACGTTTGTTCGGAAATAGACGGTTTAAAACGTCTGCCGTGTAAATTCTAGCTATTTAAGGTCGGAACGAGAGTCGAGAGCTTTTGCAATTTTTCACGCGTTTCACATAATTCAGCGGAACATTTAAAAGTTCGTCTAAAGTGCTTTTATTGTTCCGCCTTGCTCTTAATGAAGTTCTTTTTATCCTCTTACTCTTTGTACCGATCCCTTTCATCGGACGATAATATCGAAGGAACGGGAGAAATAAATTTGACGGTAAACTATTATTTATTACGAGTCGACAGAATTTCTATACGCTACGAGACCGACGTTGATAAATAAAGCTGGTTAAAGCTGCGAATTTTCTGTTACGAATATTAATTTACTTTATTATTAATATAACGCGTGGGCATTCGTTGTCGTAGCGATAAATAACTACAGTGGAGAGTACAAGGAATAATTAACGGGCAACATACAGGTTCAAAACGTACAACGTGAATTATTCAAATTTATCGAAGCTATTTATGGTAATTTACCTATTATGGTAAATTACGTATGGTCCTTGGATATTTACAATTGCGTTGCAATTGTAATTAGCATATGAAACGGAAACTCTTTGCTTTGGTATCTGTTTACCTCGTAAAATTATTGGAAAACAATGAATGGAAAATAAAAATAATTGTGATTGAACATTTGAATATTGTGATCTAAGTAATTAATTAGTGGAGTGGTATTAAATTTCACGGGTGATTCCATTCTTTAAAATTTGATAAGACCGATCGAAGTGCCACGCGTATAATCGAGAGTATCAACTTCCAGCCAATTAAGAGATCTATGCTCGAGTTATCGCCGAATAAGTTCGTGAATTACTCGCGCAAACTTCTCGTATATCTTTCGTATCTGTTTCGAGAGGCTGTTTCAGATGATTAATCCTTTCGTTCTCAAATTATTCAAAAAGCACAGGAAAGAATACTCATCTGCATTTTCGTGTTATAAAAATAATTTGATATTTCCAGAACGTTCAAGGACCTTTTCGTGGAACTAAACAAATTCATTTCATAACAGACCTATCAGTCAACTCTCGATAACGAGTAAGGTATTTACGATCGTTTAATTGCTTCCAAAAATGAATCGATTCGTCGAATCGCAAAATACGAAAGCTTCAGTTGTTTTTAGTAACGGCATCCAAGTTACCTAATCTCTTTGAAAAGTGCCTAAACAAGCTAGCTGAAAAATCGCAACCTTAATCCTAGCCCCGAGTACTCGAAAGCCACTCACCTCGACTGAATTGATCGTTGTTTGCAATCACTTTCTCGGCGTTCTTCCTCGCGATATAAAACCACTCGCTGCTGTTGCTGAGATACTTGTACTCGATCGCCAGATCCTTCACGAGGACACCATCTTGGTCTTGCAGCCGATGAGCGAACGGACAATAAAGCCAGCGATCCCTGTATTGCAACTTATCGTAGCAATTCCCGGCAGCGAAAATGTCCTCGTCGAACTCCACCATCGACAGGATACTCGCGTGCAGAAGATACTCCGATGACAGCATCACCTCCGGCGCGTACTTCCAGAGTCTGGTCAACATGTTAGCTCTGTTCACCGCCAGGTTAGCTTCCAATCGGAACTTGTCCTGAGCGTACTGGTCGACGACACCCTCGCCTAGGCTAAGATCGGTGCCAGCGGTACAGTTCTCGCCCACCAGGTGTTGATTCTCGATTATGTGGAGGAACCGCGTGACGATGTCCACGTGGACAGGCTCTTTGTGCCCCTTGGACCGGTCCACGACCGTCTTCCCATAATCCTCGTAATCCTCTTGCTCCGAAACGTTTCTACCAACGTCGTTGTCATTGTACGCGTACTCCTCCAGAATGGCGATCTCCGCGTCGTCCAGGTCGTTCTCGTTGTCGATCGGTGCTCCGTGGACCATGTGCCCATAAATGTCCGTCGAGTTCGCCGTCGTCCTGTTCCTGAACGCGTGAGTCCTATTCCTGCCGATCACTTTCCTCAATTTATGAAGGGAGTCGTTTTTGTGGCGAACCGGAGGCGTATTCCGACCCTTTGCCTCTTTCCTCCGATCCGAGCCAGCCACGGTCAGCCTAATGAACAGCTTGTCGAGATCCACGGTGGATCGTTCGTCGATAGCGCCGGTGGATCTGGGATCCTGCCCGGAAGACACGTCCGTGCCCAGACTCTTTCCCTTAAGCCTTCCCGATATCGGGACGTCCTCGCTTTGGGACACGTTGTCGATCGACTGAGCCCGACTGCTCGCTCCGTTGTACGCTGAATCCGGATCGTCAAACTTTGCTTGTCGCGCAAAATGGTTTCTCGATCGACTGTGCCTGATCTGCGTGGTCGGTTTCTCGATGCTGGTCTCCAATCTGTCTCTGCGCGTCAACTGATTCCCGACGTCCAGATCGAGCTCGTCGGACTGACGATCGTCCAGGTCTCTGGGCAGCTCCGTGGCCTCGTGCATCACCAGTTTCCGATCGATGAACGAGGGCCGATGATTCTGCTGATGACGCAGCGATTCCTTCGGCCTCTCGATCTGCGCCTCTTGATCGTCGAAGCCGGCCGCCGCCGTCGCGGGCCTCTGCGCGCACGTGAGCAGAACGAGGACGTACCAGCGACAACGGACACTCATCTTAGCTCTGTTTTCACGGCCATCAACCATGACAAGATCACGATGATCCCCGTTCGCTCAGGTCATAACGACGACGACGATACCGGGCCGAGCGTCGACAGAGAATTTATCATCTTTATTTTTCTTTCCGTTCACTCCGATTCCGCGCGATCGCGGCACCACTCCGCGTTCGTGTCACATTTTTCCGCGACGTTCGCGACGGTTCTTACGCGGCTACGCGGCGACGGCACCGCTCTACGTTCCGTTACGCTGTCGAGAAAAACACCCCGCAACGCCTGGTGCACGTCGCGACAGGTAAAATAGGATGCGGAGGACCACCGAGTCGCGTTCGAAACGTTCATGTCCGCGGTTCCTCGTACTCGAAATACCTCTATATTCTTCGTCGCGATCGACGAACGTGCTACCTACAGAATCTGTTCGATCGAAGAAAGCTAAACCCGATCTATCTTCGAAGCGATCGTTTCGATTTGATATCGTCGAAGGTCCGGACTCGTCCGATCCTCAGGTCGGATCTTTCGATTCCGAGCGAAATTCATTCATCGTGCCGCGGTTCATCGTTTTCGGCGGTTGTCAGAGGACCACCACGGTGTTTGGGGTAGCGTGTATGGGACGACTTCTCGAACGAGAGCGCCGTGGTCGACACGCGCTCGCACGCGGCGCCAGACTGAGGGTTGAAACTCGCAACCCCTGTGTCGTACGGCGGGAATCGAAACGCAACGCGCATGCCCAACCCGGGACGATTTTATTAGAATCAACCGGATCCTTGTTTTCTTCGGTCGTATCGACAGGTCATGCGTAACGCGAATTGAATATCCGAGCGACCAGCTTATCGTTAATGAGAGACACCATCTGATTTTTCAACGTGCAGTTGAAAGAAGACATCGATTCGAGAACAGCGTGTAACGTGGGAACGAAATTAAACAGGCGCAACGAATCTGCTCGATGCCAGCGGCGAACATATATTTGCAAACATTATTGAAGTTTGTGCTTACACCTTAAAACATTAATAATGAATTTGGACAAAAATGGAACGTCGAATAATTGGTACAACTTTTAAAAGTCACCATTTCTCATACCAACTTTTCTCTAGAATGAAGACAAATGTCGTGGGGTGAAAATTTGGCACAGCCAAAGAAATTCAGATTTACAACTTGAAGAAAGAAGACTTTCAGAAAAGGTACCGACAAAAGCAGAATCGGTGGGACTGTTGCATCGCCCGCCTGAAGGAACTGTCGTGAGAAGAATGGTGACCACTAATCTAGCATTGGTTTGTTACTTTTTATAGAGCTAGCTCGAAGATTTTTTGATACCCACATTAGGTGTGATCTTGTCCGTGAATCAATTAATATAATACTAAAACTAAATAACGAATTGCTAAATCTACAGAGCCACTAGATATCTGAAAAATAAAATATCGTGAACGAATCTTTTAAAACAACCTCGACGAATTTTAGAATCATCGCTTTTATTGACTTTCCGATCGAGCGCATTATGCATTGGACCGTTAACATGGAATTTTTCATAGTTTTCGTCCTATTGGTTTATTTATTTTCACGTTGTTAGTTTTCCCGATAAAACCGACTCCGAACGCAACTTTAATCGAGGGCGGACGTATTTTTTAAATTTAGAAGCGATTTATTTCATTATTATTATTATCATTCTGGTTTTTTTTCCAAATCGTATAACCGTTAAATATTTTCCTATAGGACTTTTTAATAAGTAAAATTTCTGCTAACGAACCACGAACGGTTGACTAGTTAAGAGACAATATTACAGTTGTCATCCATGAAGAGAAGTCCTAGTTATGTAATAACGTAATAAAAAATTAAGTAAAATGAGAAAGATATTCTATTTCGCATTTAATATAATGAAATAGACTCGTTTACTTTGTGTTTTACGTAAATTTAAAGACGTGCCACTCAAATTTGATAATCCTATATAATATAAAGTAATTGTGCCCGTGTATCAGTGATATATGCCACCGCTCGAAAGTATTTAATTAATAAGGATGGAAGAGTATGCAAGATAATTATTTTTCGCAAATAAAAAACCCTGGTTACGGTGGTACGCAACGTTTAAATTCAAAGCTGATGCATCCATTACTGAAAAAGGTATGAACTTTTCTACCGCTGTCCTCTTTGTTTACCTCAATTATTTACATTCCGTACTTTTACGTTTTCTTAAAACTATGCTTTGAACCGACGAGGCTTTGCACTAAAAAGGTATTTTTAATTTACGAAATAACCACAGTCGAAGCTTATATTACTACTGTCTACACCCACAAGTAATAAGAACTGGTATCGTTAATGACTATTTAATTAGAACCAGACCTGCATTATTACACTTCTCCCTATTTACTATTTTATTCGATTTTCTTTCCCCATGCTTGTCTGTTTTGTCATAATTGTTCGTGTCTGTTTAAAAAAGCAGCCTCCGGCTTCAACTTTGTTTTTATGCAAATTACTCGGTTTTCTTCATAATGTATACAGGGTGTTCGGCCGCCTCTAGCAAAAATTTTAATGAGCGATAGTAGAGGCCAAAATAAGACGAAAATCAAGAATACTAATTTGTTGATGGAAGCTTCGTTAAAAAGTTATTAACAATTAAATTCAAAAATTTCAAATCGTTCTGGAAAAATTATTTTTGGTTGCGGGGATCAACTACAATCATTTTTGGTGAGTACACATACCTCCGAAATCCTATCTACTTTCGAGAAAAAAAATCGAGTAGGTGCTGAAATTTTTCGGCGAAAAAAAATTTTTCAAATCGTTCTAAAAAAATTATTTTCGGTTGCGGGGATCAATTACAATCATTTTTTATCATTACACATACCTCCGAAATCGTACGCACGTTCGAGAAAAAAATTCCTTACTGAAAATCCAATTAGGTGCCTAAATTTTTCAACGGAGAAAAAAAATTGCAAATCGTTGTGGAAAAATTATTTTCGGTTGCGGGGGTCAATTACAATCAGTTTTTGTCATTAGACATACCCACGAAATCCTGCCCACTTTCGAGAAAAAAAATAGAGAAGGTGTGAAATTATTCGAGAAAATTAAAAAATTGCAAATCGTTGTGGAAAAATTATTTTCGGTTGTAGGGTTCAATTACAGACATTTTTGGTGAATAGACATACCCCCGAAATCTTGCGCATTTTCGAGAAAAAAATTCAGTGAGGGCGGCACTTTAAACGTTAATAACTTTTTAACGAAGCTTCCATCAACAAATTAGTATTCTTGATTTTCGTCTTATTTTGGCCTCTACTATCGCTCATTAAAATTTTTGCTAGAGGTGGCCGAACACCCTGTATGTGCTCGTCTAATAATAACGATTATGTAAGTACGTCCTCGACTTAACACCATTAAGGGGCCATTCTACCTTGTAGGCATGAAAAATACGTGTTTCTTTGTGATTTTTTTTTGCGGGTTATTAAAGAGCGATTAATTCCGGATTTTGTAGATACATTTATTATATATTTAGCTATATTTACGAATTTTTGCAACGCATAATATCTATTGATTACGCTGTTTTTGTTGATCATCAAACAACAGTTTTTACGAACGGCACCCGACTGCGTACGTGATATCTTGCGAACAAGTTATTCGAAATCCTAAAACCATCGATATTCTTAATATAGATGAGTGTGGTTATAGCATGAACTAGGATCTTTTCAAAAAAACAAAAAATGGCAAAATGGCAGCTATTTTACGAAAAAATACTGAATATTTTCATATATTTGGTTGCTTTTTTGTTAATAAAAGAAAAAGTATTGCATATATCGCAATTATCCTAGTTCATGCTATAGGGAGACCAGTTCTGAAGATACTGTATAAATTTGATGTTGATATCTTGAATAGTTTTTCAGTTATCACGCACGCAGTGCCGAAAAATGTAGTTTCGAGAAAAACAGCTTTAAAGTTTTACGTCCAGTTATTATACCTGCGTGTGGTACATATCAGCAGGCTATAACTTCGTTAGTTTTCCGAATTTCAATTTAATATTTGGTAGACATATTTTCGAGACTACATACTAAAGGAAAATACAAAAAAAAATATCGATTTTTTTAATCCCACAAGGTAGAAAGGCCCCTTAAAGAATAAGAATTAAGTGAATCGACGATCGTCGTAAGAGACTAACGATTGATTTCATTCGAAAATAAAATTAATACGACATTCGTTATTGTATAGAACAACAATGAAATTAATGTTCAATCAAATGATCAAACATCGTTCGCGCTTCACAATTAATTCAATCGTCACGAATGATTAACAATTTATTCATTTTTCATCATTCATTGTCATCGATTAAATTTTGCCCAATATTGCCTGGCTTACAGTCGAATGAATAACAGCAGCTTCGATTGAAAATGCAATTTCCATATTTCTATGAATATTTTCATTTAAAATGAATGCGATGAAAAATAAATCGTATAAATCACAAAAGTTTTTAAATAGAATGGAGTTTATAGATCCTACAGATTAATACTTGGGATATTGGAGATTGGAAACTGATTCGTAAACATTGCACGCCACACTTAATTTTATGACACGCATCGTTTCAAGTTTTTGTACTTTTCGATATCCCTTTTTTTATACGTAAGAGGCTCAAACATTATTTTACCTTCCTCGGTGCCGCGTATCAAAAGGCGATATTCTTAGACAAAATTAAAAACGAAGCGAGGAACAATTGACGGGAAAAGCAAGTAAACTTCAGTACTTGCACAACGAATAATATTAGCCCGTGGTGAAAGGCCAAATCGGAATACGCTTCCTTTGAAATTTCATGTAGATGAAAGGAAACTTTTATGTTCGCCTGCCTTTCGCGCACAGAAAATGAAAGAGGAGAAGTTTAACGAGGAAATTAATGGAAAATAGAAGTAACTTAACAATGGACGTCCCGAATTCCTCCAAGGTACGGAATTGAAGCTCGAGTAAAATACAGTTTACGCTGAAAAGTTTCAAGTTTCATGAGTTCGTCTTTCAGAAGTCGTGCACCGCGACAACATCGGCAAAGAAATATCTGCTGTTACGTAGCAATAGTAAATTGGCAACTTTCTGGAGTCTCGTGGATGCACGAAGTACCGGGAAAAACAACATTTAATCGTGAAATGGCGACAATTCACTTCCATCGTTCATTTTATGAATTAGATACGCG